CAATCTCCAGTCCTGGAGTTGGTGCCTCAGATGTTGTTCTGTAGTTGTCTCATCAAAGGGGATGCATAAAGTAGAACAAAACTACACTCACACACACAGAGAAAAAAAAAAAAGCCCCACCAAGTGTCCCCAGTTCAAATGCAATACAGTTTCAGTAAGTTTTTCGGCTTGCAGGTGTAATTCGGTTGTTCTCTCATCAAAGGTAGGGAGAAAAAGAAAAAAAAAGCGTCTGGAGGCAGTTCTGAGAGTGGTATCTGCAACTGTGGCTTGCCTGCCTGCTGCTCTCAGCCTGTAGCTGGCGGCGTTATTTATGCAGATCTCTGGGGTGAGCTAGCACTCACCTGGTCCCACAGGCTTTGTTTGCTCAGAGTTCTCCTGTGCGGGGCCTCTGCTACAGGCTTTCCCTTTCCAAGCACTGGGAAAGGTGACACTGCCCCGCGTTGTCAGGCCTGCGTGTTTATTTACAGTTCACGTGGGAAGTGGGTCTTCCCTCCTCTCACAAGCGTCCCGCTCCTGGTTGCTGGGCGCGCCCCGCTCCCGCCAGAGCCTCTCCGGCCCGCCCGGCTTGTTTATTTACAGTCCCGGGAAGGATTCCCTTCCCCCAATCTTCAGCGCTCAGGGCGCCCCACCCTCTTTCCAGCGTGTCTTAACTGTTCTTATTGCTTAGTACTCAGTTTCTCTTTTTTTCCCGGGTGGAGGTCAGTCTGTCCAGGGGGCTATGCTGCTCTGGCCCAGGCTTGTCTGTGGGGCTACCCCGGTACCGCGAAGCTCACCTGGTCCGCGTCTTCCCAAGCCGTATGGGCGCCGGCCACTGGTGGCCCGGGGGCCCTCTTCGGTTCTCCGTTTAACGTGAAGTGGAGATTCTCTGCGCCGGCTGGAGATGTGGAGGAGTCAAAGTTATGCCTTTTCTCGTGATTATGCCTGCAAAGTGTGTCTCCAGCGTCTCTCCAAGATTTCACTATAGGAGGGTCGCTTTCTGCTTCCTACCTCTAGCCGCCATCTTGGAATTCCTCCTGCATTTTCTTTGACTACCTTGGCTCGTGGCCTAGTAGACTCATGTCATTGGAATTTTGATGGAATTGCATTAACATGTAGATTACGTTTGGAGTATCGACATTTTTACTATGTTGATTCTACCAATCCATGAAGCATTGGGAGATCTTCCACTTTCTATTAGTCTTCCTCATCTCTTTCTTCAGAAGTGTTATAGTTTCCTTGTAGAGGTCTTTGACATCTTTTGTTAGGTTTACACCTAGGTATTTGATTTTTTTTGAGGCTCTTTAAAATGAATGGGTCAGTACATTTCTTTTTTCAGTTTGCTCATTGTTTAGTTTATAGAAATGCTAATGATTTTCTATGTTGATTTATATCCTGCTACTTGCTATAGCTATTGAGATTGGCTAGAAGCTTCTGAGTAGAAGTTTTTTTTTCCTTTTGTCTTTAAGGTAAGGATCATGGCTCGTCTGAAAATAGCGGATATTTTGACGTTTCTTTAACCTATTGTAGTCCTTTTATTCCTTCTTCTTGCCTTAATGCTCTGCGAGCGATTCCAATACTATGTTGCACCAATAGGAAGTGGGATAGTGGGCATCCTTGTTCTTGGTTTCCTTGAATTTAGAGGGAATGGTTTTTCAGTTATTTCTCCCGTTAGTATAATCGTTGGCTGTAGGTTTGTCATATTATAGCTTTTATCTTTTGAGGGACTTTCCTTTTTCCTAGTTTTTAGGCTTTTACATGAAATGATGTGGGTCTTATCAAAGGCGTTTTTCTGGCATCTAGTGAGATGTCAGTGGTTTTGTTTTGCTTCTGTTAATGTGCGTTTAATCTACGTTATTGATTTTTCGTAGGTTGAACACCCCTGCATCCCTGGATGAAGCCCTACTTGGTCGTGGTGAATAATCTTTTTGATGGTTGTTGAATTCGGTTTCATTTCCGTTTGCCATTGATTTTGTTTGCGATTTTTGGCTTTCAATGTTCATTAGGAAGATTGGCCTATAGTTTTCTCCTTTTTTGGAGGTGTCTTTGCCTTGGTTTTTGGGATAGTGTACCTGCTTCATAAATGTGTTTGGCAGTTTTCCTTCCCTTTCTATCCTAATCACATTTAATCCCCATAAATATTTACCTGTGTCTCTTGGTGATCGTTGTCAGGGTTTTAATTACTAAAATAACTGAGTCATGTTTATTTAAGAGTTGGTTTATGTTGGGGTTAACAGTAAGGACAGCCATGTTAAGACCTCTTCCCCCTTCAGATGGTTTACTAGAAACTCCCCACCCAACCCCAAAGACTGACAAAAGGATAATTGTTAACTTTTATCTCCCCGGATGGATGCCAAGGACAGTTGAGCAGACAGTGACCTAACTACAACTTATCTTTCTTGGTTGCCCAGCAACAGTATCCCTTCCTGGTATTTTTCCATTAGCCCCCTATATCTAGCCTAAGCCTGTGTATGGCAATGGGCTCTAGCTCTTTTTCTGGGGTCCCCCTCCACAGGGCTCTGGTCTGAACAATAAACCCTGTGCTGGTGTTTGAGCTGTCTCTCTGCCTCTTCCATGCCTCTTATTTTCTAACAGCTTATGTTAAAATTTTCTAGATGACCTCATGGTTAAACAACTGTTCTCTTGGGTGATTCTAATACAGTCAGTACCCTATATGTGTCTGTGACTGGGCTATTTGGGTTTATCAAAGCTGTTCTCTCCCCCACCTCCACTGATGGAAAAAAATCTAAGGTTTTACTTCAAAACCAACAACTAAACTAATATGTATATATTACCTCTATAGAGCTGTGATGCTATTGCTGGTTCCTTACACTAAATATATTTATGTTTTTCAAGTATATCAAGCCTTCTAAAATACAAAATTTAGATAAACATGGTAACAAAAAAGTTAGTGGTACTGATACACTGTTCTGTTAGTTGCTAAATTGTCCATAATAATCTTAACCATGGCTCTTTCAAGTTTTTGTCATTACAGTTCTGATCCTTCTGGGACATTTACAATCAAGCCCATAAAAAATGACTCTAATAAGTGCTTACGTGTCAACCAGGTTAGCTTTTCAGACATTGGCTTTTGTTGGATTTTGTTATGTATTGTCCTTTTCTAGAACCCCACTGCCTAAAAGCCACTCTTTCTAAGCCTCTTTGTTGCTTAAATTTAGCCAAAAATGTCTGGTTGGTACTGACTCCCACCTGATCTGCTTGCTATCACCCCCCCAACCACTGCCACATGGGATGAAAACCAACCAAAAAACAAAATCCAGGAAAGAGTGAATCCTCACAATGAGAAAAAAAAAATGACCAATCAAGAAAGATCTTCAGTCTATAGTCATACTCCCCTGAATGTGCCCAATCTCTTCTGGTCTCAGAAGCCAAGCAGGGTTGGGCCTGATTAGTACTTGGATGGAAGACAGATCTTCCGAAGAGACTGCTCAGAGACAAACAGTTTGGAGGCAAGGGGGGAATGAAGTAAAATTTCAAATGGAGTCACTCATGCCAGACTCTCAAAAATAACCAAGGCCAAGAGGATTGAAGAAGTGGTTCTTACACACTTCTTGCCACAATGTGGCCATCTGGCATTAAAGCCTTTCCAGACACAAACTCCTATTTTTAGACAGGATCTTCTACTTAGAGACAAAATGACTGTTTTTACTGGCTCTATACATGTCCTTTGATACTTAAAGATTGTGGTTTTAACTTTTTTAAACAACCCGTTTTCTTGAACATAAATACTGATAGTATATTGTTGCCATGGTAAATCTACTCAGTTAAAAAAAAAAAAACCAAAAGATACTATCTGGGTAAAAAAAATGTCCAACCATTAAAACTCCATTTGATGGGCCCTTTTGTTGTTATCTTGTCTATTCCCACTACGTTAAAGTAACAAAAATTGCCCCCTGGATCCACCACAGGTGAGGAAAGCCAGCCTTTCCCAAGTGGGAGTGCATCCCTGACCCAGCCTCACCATGCAAGATCACCTCTGCAACACCTGTGCCATTCCTTGGCAGGACTCCACTTCCCAGGAGACAACAGGGGACCACAAACAATGGGACAACAGCCCCGCTCTAGTCACTCCAAAAACTAACTACGCTTCACACAGAGAAAGCTCAAACATGGGATGTACTCCTGTTCTCTTCTACACACTTAGACTCTTACCTTTTGGGATGGTCCTTACAACGTTTTCCCCATGTACTAAATAGTATAAGAGAGCCATTGCTGGGAACTCGGCACAGCCACACTTTGCATCATGCACCCACCAACAGGTCAGATGTTAAATCGGCTCATATACTCCCAAGTTAACGAGGTTGCTGGTAAGTGATACTAAAAGTCCCAGAGTAAAAAAAAAAATGCAGACTACATTTGTCATAAAAAGCAGGACAATGAGTCTTATCCTAGGAGCATGCTTAATATTATCCTGCCTGGTGCCCCTGGCCATTATGGAGGCCACTATAAAAAGGAAAATGGCCACACATGTGATGATGCTATGGAAGTACAAACCCTAGATTAAGAGCATCAAAGCGGGGAATGATGTAGCAGGGAGGAGGACCAGAAGAGAAACAGACAGGCTGTGTTCTGATAGTGAGCCAGGGGGAAGGGATGGCAAGACAGAGAGATAAAACTTAAAGTATTGAAACATGAAGAAGGTCACATAGCACTGGGGGAATGAAATAGCCAATAAAGTCACATGCAGCCATATGTGGGTTGCACTTTGTTCTTCACTTCTGTAAGCTGCTTGCAAGGGTATATAAGGTGACACCTCTTTGTTCTCGGGGCTCAGCCTTTGGACACTAGTCCATGGGTCTGTGCCAGCACAATAAAATGTTGCTTCCTGCTAAACTGACTCAGCGTCCCACACATCATTCTTCCCATTCCATGCTCATCTCCCCCTCTTCAAATCCCTGGCTGCTAGTTTCTTCACAACCTCTTTCTGCTGAGAGAGAGAGAGAACCCTGACAGGATTGATGGTCACCCCACCCTCTTCCTCCCCTGCTCCCTCCCCCAGGCTGGCTTGGCTTCCCCACCCTGGTAGGAGGCAGAGGCTGGGTGAGAGCAGCTGCTCTCAGACTCTACTTCCTTGGCCTTCTGTTGGCTGTGCCCAGCTGGACCTTTGTCCCTGATTCTCCTGTGAGACTGGGCACCTGCCGTGCCAGGTCCCCACCTCCCTCCCCATGAATACTGTGGAAAGTCCTGAGGGGCAGGAGCTGCAAAAGCTGGGGAGCGGAGCCTGGGACAACCCTGCTTACAGTGGCCCCCCTTCCCCACATGGGACGGTTAGGATCTGTACCATCTCCAGTGTGGTGATCCCCCACCCCCAACCCAAGAAGCTTGAAGACAGACCCCAGGAGAAGACACACAAGACCCTGGTGTCCAGCTGCTGCTTCCTTATCTGTCGTGGCATCAGAGGTATGGGGTGGGAGGCTTCTGAGATATTAGAGTACAGAGAAGGGGTTACTGCAAGCTCTGAGTGGGAAAAGTAAAATCTCAGTGTCTCTTTGTGACTTGCCTGTTTTGGAGCTGCTTGCCCCAGGACACAGAGGCAAGTCTTGCCATCTGCCAGAGAGGTCACTAGGCACAGTCATCACTTGGGGGTCCAGAGTGTTGTGGAGTGAGGTGGAAGAAGACACAAAGTGATGAGACCTTAGACCATGCCCTGCAACAACAGGTGACATTTTTAAGACTATACTTTCTGTGACCCAGTGCCCTTACTACATCATTTCAGGGAGTTTGAAGGAGGACAGGCATGAATAGTGTAGTCAGATTCCACCAGAGGATAAGGAGATGGGTCAGGAAGGACTGGGAGGAGATGGAGTAAAGTCCAGGTCAAGGCGTTCTTAGGAATTGTGAGCATCTTTCCAATTCCCTTAGGACTCTGGGGAACAAACCTAACTGAGAACACAGCCGAGAACCGGGATCTTTATGTCAAGACCACTCTGCGGGAGCTTCTGGTGTACATTGTGTTCCTGGTGGACATTTGTCTGTGTGAGTAGCCTCTATCTCTGTGGATGTCTGTCTGTGAGAAGTCTGCTGTGTGTGACATATGAATACTCTTGTCTGTGGGCAACACCTGTGGGAAAGCATCCATGTGTGTGAGACAGTGTGTTCTGGGAACTGTGTAGATAATATTCAACTCCTACTTATTCCATTTTCAGCTTAAGATGTTTCATTGAAAAGGAACTTGTCATTGAGTCAGTGAAAGATGGTGATGGTGAGTTGTTAGGAAGGCTGTTTGTCTAGAATTACCAGTGGAATCCAGTTTTAAGTTTAGGTGCCTAACATTGAGTCAGCAGCCATGGTTTTCTGTTGGTGGGTGGAAGATTTACCCTTCTGTAAAGAGTGATAGTTCACTGCTTTCTGTTTGTTGGCTTTCACGTGGTTAGTTATTGAGCTACATCTGATCTGTGATCCTTTAGAGGCAGGAAGAGAACAAATGATTCAGGTCTTAGGGCCCTGAGAAGAGGCTGAGGATGCAATGGTGACATCATGGGAGAGCCCACCCCATGCAGGAATCTGGAGAAGCATCTGTGAGGCTTTAGTTGACCCCCCAAGTTAGGATGGTTTGGTCCCTAAATTCAGAGAAGTAAGTGGGAAGATTGAAAGGTAGACTATAGGAACAGAGTCAAAGAAATGTAGAGAATCTTAAAGGTGGAGTACACAGAGGCTACTCAGCACGTAGGTGAGGATAAGAACGCTGTATTCGTTAATTCTTTCCTTGAAAAGTGGCACAGCAAGTGACATTTGCCTCATTCAGTAGAGTAGCATGTGGAGCTGTTCTATGCGTGCTGACTAAAGCTGTAGCTTGTGCCACCCAGCTGCGGTGCCTCCTCTCTAGATGGCCTCTGTCCTTCAGCAGACTTTATGCTTTTTAGGGTGCATGAGCCTTTGGAAATGGGATGTGAAGTTCTGGTAACAGGCATCTCTGTGAACCACCCACTTGTGTGAGCCTCTTGGGGTTGAGCAGACATACTTGCTCTGACCTGTGCTGTGCGGACTCATGGTGCTGGGCAGAGGGGCCTGCTAGGAGCGCTTCATCCTAAGGTGGCAGCACAGCATGAGGGCACGATGGGCCATGCCATGTGAGGGGGACAATGGCGGGCCCAGGGCACTCACCCTTTGTGGGGTCCATTTATTTCCTTTCAACACATGACTGTCAGAGACTCATTTGTTGACATACTGATTTTTTTCATTGCAACCATCTGCTAGGAAGGAGGGTTCCTCTCCCTCCTCACACCCCTGTGACAACAGCTGAAACCCAAGGCAGAGTTTTTCTCTGCAAGTGACCGAGTTGGCTGGAGCTCCACATCGGCTTTGGAAAAGCATTGTGAGATTCCCAGTCCACCATTTCAGACTCCTCTGTTTGAGGCTGGAAGGGTGGAAGCCCAGAAGTGACATGAACCCATGGTCTCTACTTCCTGGAGCTCAGTGCCCTGAGGAGGGTCAGCTGGTCTGTGACTGGCCCTTGTCCGAGCCCTGGACTCAGCGCAATGATTATAGCATCTTGAGCAGCCGGGATTTTAGAGGACATCTAGGTCAAGGGTGCAGAAATGTAGAATCTTTCCTTGACCCTCCCATGGCATCTGTTGTGTGCCCCATCAAGACAGGGTGTCCCATCGTGGGGATTGTCCATTGTCTCATGGGGAGCCCATTCTACAGTGGTCAGCTCTAGTTCCCTCCACTTATGGAGCCCCCTCCTCTGTGCCAGACAGTAGGCCAAGAATACGTACATCACTTTCTCCTTTGTAGGACTTTCTTCTACTGGGCCGTCTACTTTCCCACTACTCTCCAAGGTGACAGCCTTTCAAGTGTTGGGATGACTGTAGTGACCAAGTTTCCCTTGGTCACCTGTTCTCCAGGCTTTCTATTTTCTCATGAAAGCAGTCATTATAACATGCTGTCCAGAGGAGGTTTATGCAGAGATTGAAGGCATGGGGTCTGATTTGCAGAGATTTGCATTTGAACAGCACACTCTGCCATTCATCATGGGAGGGACTTGAGCAAGTTGCTTAACTTCTTTGATTCTCAATTTCTTCCTCTGTACCCACCTGATTACATAGGATTATGTGACGTTATGTGGCTGCTGTCTGTGAAGTCATTAACTCAGTGTGGCAAGTCTTAACAACAGTTTCAGGGAGTCTCCATGCTGGTTGGTGGTCTCCAAACCTCGTCGATTTGATGCCTAACTGGACGAACTACTCCATGGGCAATCTGACCAGCAGAGTCCTGTGATGTCATTGCTGCTGTTGTGTCCAGATTTGGGGGTCCACGAGGACATGCACAGAAAATGATATCTGAGCTGGGACCCGAGAGATGAGGAGGATTTAGCACCTTGAAAGGGGGGCAAAGAGAAGGGAAGTTTCTGGGAAGAGGGGACAGCAGTGCCAAGGCCCAGCCGGGACAGAGGGCCCAGTTTAGTGTAGGTGCAACACTGTGGCTGGAGCAGAATTGGGAGGGTCAGAGTGGTGAAGATGACGAGGCTGGCATGTGAGCAGAGCAAGCTGTCTGTGAAGGTCTTTACTGGGCTCAGTATGGGACTGCCTTGTATCATGAGGGCCAATGAAGGTACTGCTGCAGGTTCAAAGCATAAGAAAGCCATGATACATTTGAGTTCTTAAATTTATGGAGAGAGTGAATGCTGGGCCTTGGGCCAGAGAGGTGTCTCTGGGAAAGGTGAGTTCCAGAGACGATGGTCATATGCTAGGCACATAAATGGGATATTTTATTTAACCTTATAACTACGTTAGCATGTCCACTGAGTTAGTTTACTCAATTTAGTCTAGCCTGCTGGTTAAGCACTAGGACTCTGAAGTCAGACTGTCTGGGTTCAAGGCCTGGCACTTCCAATTGTCATCTGTGTGATCTGAGCAAGTTTGCTAATCTCTTAGCCTTAGAAAATCATCACTCTCATATGATGAGATTGTTGTGAGGTGAAATAAAAGAGCCCCAATATTAGGCCAAGCATTTAGCAAATTGTCTTTCTGGTGCATGGTATATAAGGCTTGTTATTTTCTACTCCCAGCAGTCACTGTGAAACCACACTGCAGATTCATGAACCCAAGCAGAGATGGGGACCGAGGGAGGGAGAATTAATCTGGTCCCTTTAAACCTCTGAAACCCTCTGACTCCTCTGGAGTTGCATTTTTGGTAAACCTTGAAATCACTACCTGAAGATGGGTCATTTACCTGCCTTGATGAGAACTGAAGACTTCACCCATAAAACACCAACCTCCACAAGAGCCTTTTCTGTAACAGAATTTGGAGAACTTTATTTTCTGATGGTTCCTACAACAATTAGTAAAATAATACTCATGCCTGGCCCCTCGCCTTTCCTTGCCTCTGTCTCCTTTCAAGCAAATCTTCAGGCAACAGCCTTGGGTAGGGTCTCAGTAGGGCTGTTTGGTGCTCTGCAGCAGGCCTCAACTTCCTGCCTCCCAACTCTCTGTTGACCACCCTGAGCTCTGGCCTTCTTTAATTAGATGATGCATCTCAATGAAGATGATGGAACCCTTTAAAGAGAGCAAAGTTTTTTGAAGAAAAAAAATCCTTAGCTATTATAATGATTTTTGCCCTCTAAAAGGCAATAGTACATAAGCAAATATAGAATCTATCTGTGATATTAAAATTTAAAAGAGATGAAGCGTGATTATGAAGAAAACATCAAGAGATGCTTCTGGAAGGACTGATAATGCAAAAAAGGTGAAGAAATTTAGGACTAGACCAACCTAATTTTTCTGATCAGCATGATGATTGAGCTGTCCTGCTTAAGGATGAGGAATATAAGTAAGTCCTGGCCCTAGGATCTAGCTGGAAGCAAGTGGCTGTTGTGTTGTCCTGTGAGGATACTGTCCTCTGAGAACTGGAGTGCCATGTCATTTGCTATTCCCATTTGCTGTGTGCTTGTCCCCGAGAGTGCTTGCGACTAGTTCAGATGCTCCAGGTCACTGCTCTGTAGTGTTAGGGTAAACACTGTAGCCTAATGGAAAGACATGAACATTGGATTCTTCAAATACTAGCTCTACCCCTTACTGGCTTTGGGATGTTAGGCACTTCCTTATAGGTAGAACAAGGATAATAGTATTTACGGATATAACGTGTAAAGAATCTAACTCAATGACTGGCAATAATGTTTGTATTCTCTAGTGGAATTTCAAAACATTCACTTGATCCTCTAGACTGATTGTAAAAAAAAAAAGAAAGTTCCTTCTAGGAAAGAAGCCAATCCAGAAAGACTATATACTGTAAAATTCTAGGTATATGATATTCTGCAAAAGGCTTAACCAGGGACCAGGGAGACAATAAAAACTGGCAGTGGTTGCCAGGGATTGAAGGGAGAGAGGGATAAATAGGTGAAATGCACAGGACTTTAAGGACAGTGAAAATACTCTATGATATGGTAATGACAGATACATGTCATTTTAGATTTGTCTAAGTCCATGTACAATACCTAGCATAAGCTCAATTGCATATTGTGGACTTGGGTGATAATGATGGGTCAATGTGGGTCCATTGTATAACAAATGTATCTTTCTGGTATGGGAATTTGGTAGCAAAGGGTGTTAGATCCCAGTGCTATGGCCTGTGCACAGGGTGAGAAAGATTTCACAAAGGCCAGAGTTAAAACAGAAAAGTTTACTTACTTTCCAAAGAAGGAAAGGGCTAAATGACACCTTCGCAGTGGGGTGATTGGTGTGACTTTTTAAGGGCTTTGTGAGGGAAGAGCTGTAGGAATAGGGGTGGGGAGTGGAACAGGTGGTCTTTGGTCATTTTGACAGATGGTGGGCAGGCATCTTGATTAAACTGGTATGTTGACCTGCATGCAGTTTGGCCTGGAGTCATATCTTTAGTCTCCGGGTACTATGGATTCTCAAAATAGAGCAGAAAAGTTACTAGCTGGGTCTAGTCTGAAAAAATAAAGAAGGTTAGTCAGGAGCCTACACAAAATGGAGTCCAGAGACAAAATGAAGTTACTTAGACCTATTTGTCAG